GACTCTGGCCCGGAGGTGCTTACCACAGGCAGCTCCCAGCCATTGGCGCAGCAGGGCTCAGGCAAGCTCCCTGCATGCTGTGGCCCCATGCCGCTCCCAGAAGCGACTGCGGACAGCTGCTGCTGGCACGTCTCTTCACGCCCCCTTGGAGGGAGAAGGGGCAGCGGGCCTCTGTGCACTGCCCATGCTTGCAAGCACCGCCCCCTTCAGCTCCCATTGGCCAGTTTCCAGACAATGGGAGCTGTGAGGATGGTGCTGGGGGCGGGGACAGTGCGCAGAGCCGCCTCCCCCCCCCAGCCAGGGGCATGCAGAGACACGCCAGCAGCAGCCGGCCACTTCCAGGAGCAGCGTGGGGCCGGGGCCTGCCAGAGCACCCCGCTGCGCTGCGAAACTTTTAACGGCCTGGAGATCGCAAGGTGGCAGCCAAAGAGCCTGGCGGGCCGGACAGAAATGTTAGACGGGCCGGATCCGGCCCGCGGGCCATATTTTGCCCACCCCAGGTGTAAGTCCTCTGCACAGAGGTGTTTCTCAGAGTTATATTTGCTCTCTTTAATGACAAGGTAATATTGCATTATGTTTCACTCCTGGTTGTCTTGTCCAGCCAATACAGCTTTTCCGTATTATGCATTATCAACAGAGTTGCTTACTAAATTCAATATCAGGAGAAATCAGTTACATCCATACAAACCCACTGCCTTTTTTGGTGTTACTCAGAGCACAAGATGAATGCAGTGAGGTTGTGAAACTTTAACTAAGGCCGTAATTGATTTGCATATCTTTTAATACTCATGATTATACAAAGTGAAGAACCCAGTTCAACTCTCAGAACCCAGGGGGAATTTTCAGGGTTCTCAGTTAAAAAAAATCTTTTTTATTTGTAAACCAAGCATATTTGTCACTTTTCAGGTTAGAGCTACAGGTTATGATTTTAAAACTGCTGCATTGTGACAAAAACTGGACATCAAAATTACAAGGAAAGCAATCACACATGGAGCTGATCAGAGGTAGAGGCAATAATTTGAAACCCTTTCCCTGGTCCTCACTTCTGTGACTTTCTCCCCCAGCCCTCACTTCTGCTCTCGATCTGCTCAACCACTACAAAAGCAACAGTAACTTAAAAACAGTCTGCAAAGTTAAACTTGCAATAATCTACAATGCTTATTAACACTACACGGAGGGAGTGAGAAAAGATGACATCAGCCTTGCCCATTTCTGTGAGCAAAGAGTAACTTCACTAGTTTTATGCTGGCAAATGTGTTGAAACAATAGCTTTTTAACAAGAGAAGCTATTAGTATTGAAATGAACTTTCAAAAGCATGCTACTGGGGGTAGTAGAATATCTAGCCAAAACAACCACTTGCCCATGCCCTTGGTCAGAAGAAGAAACAAAGTTACCGACAGGGTGAAGGTACTAATAAAAGGTTATCAAATTAAACTATTTGTTGAAAACAAAATATGAGTTGCTATATTTGCCCACAGGATTAAATCTGGAAATACTTGTAAATTCCTTTGAAAACTAATATAAAGCTTTGATTTTTATAAATGGCTACTTGCATGCTAAAAGTAAGACCTGGTCTACACTACAGGGCTAGGACGGACGGAAGATGCCTAGCATCAACCTAGCTGCAGAAGCGTCTTCACTTAAATTTGGCTCCTGCCAATGTAAGTACCTTTCTACACCGATTTAGTAACACCACCTCCCCGAGCGGCGTAGCATCACAGTTGATGTAACTAGGTCGACATTGTTAGCGTATACACTGCGTTGCTTACGTCAACTGTTACTGGCTTTCAGGAGCTGTCCCACAATTCCCCACACTGACAATACAATCTATACAAGTGTTCCTGCTGAACACGCACACCTCCGGCACAAGGAGCCAAATACTGCACACAAACAAGTGATTAATAACTGTGGTGGCTGTATGCTGACGCAAGTTAGGTTGTTATAATTTTGTAGTGGAGACATGGCCTAAGACTTTCAAAAACATTATTTACAGTATAAGATTGACTTACAATGGTACTGGAAGAAAGAATCATACCACTTTTTTGTAGGTGGTTAAAATTGTATTTACCATTGGCAGTGCATTGATGTAGGGAAGTTCTCCTGTCTGCTGTCTCCAGTCACAGGAAGATGATGCTGAAAAAGAAATGGAGACACAAATAAAAGGATAAGATTTAACATTTAAAAATAGATGTGCTAACAGAATAAAACACAGTTTAAAAAACAATATCAGTTGTGGTACCAGATGGCTCAGGGGATCAGTAAGAGACAGTAACGTTTTCACCTCAGAATTTATATACAGACTAACTCAGCAGTGATTAGGAGTGGTAATAAGAAGGATTAGTTTCCCTATCAGTCCTGTTGCAGGTGTCCACATCATAAAAATTACCCTTGCAGTGGTGCAGAACTTATGACTAAATAACTATGGGAAATGAACTGTCTTATGCCATTAGGCCACTGGACACTTGCATCCACATTCAGTGGAAATCCACACAGACAAGGGTCCATTTCTGAGAAGCCTACAGCTGGACTGTGCCTTTTGATATATTTCTCCAGAGACGGGTTCTTAGATGTTGGCATTGTTATTGCCCATGCCAAATCTGTTCTAAAAATAAAAGACTTCAGAGGAAACTGATATTTATGTAGCACCTTTTGCAAGCACTAAAACAAAAAAATCCTTCCATTGATTTGATTGTAGAACATTCATCTTGAATGTTTAATTGGGATTGGAAGTGGTAAATTACACATTTTCTTAAGGCATACATTATATTAGTCAATATAAGTATGCACATTTAGAAGAACATGCAAAGCAGTTAAATTTACCAAGTTGTACAATAACTTAGAAAATTGAGGAAGTCAGCATATTTTAGCTGCATGGATACATTTGAAGAAATAAGTTATAAAAATCCTGCAGGTAGGACATTCAAGAGCAGACTAGTATTGAGGCAAGTTTTTTTTTGTGTTTTTGTTTTTAAGACTACCAGCCTTAATGTAC